TACGAAACGTTGTGTACCTATTAATTTTGTGAATATAGCTCATGTACATATACGTGTGTGTGATGTACCTAAATAATTTTTATAACACTTATTTAAAAAAAATATGTCATATACTTACCAATCAATTTCAACTACGAGTAGTAACAAACTGTGTTATAATACATAGTTGTAACAGATATTTAATGGATCAACGAAGTCAACAGTTCTGAAAAACAGTTCGTAGCAAACTAACCTTCTAAAGATTTCAATCAAATAAAAAACAACTGGTTAACAGTGTTTCTTAAGTTGATATAATTAAGACGCTGGAAACTCTCCGTGAGAGAGCATACATAAACCGAAGCAATACCACGACCTCACAGAAAACTACTGTTAAGCAATTCTTTCATTGCTTCTAATCGAAGGTCCAACAATTCCCCCCCCCCCCCCCCCCTCCTGTGCTAATTCTGGGACCCAACTCAAAGGGTTGCAATGCCCTTGTGCCTCTTGAGTTGCAGTTGTCTGATGATGGAATTATAATGTAAGATATGTTAGGGTCATGTGTAACATTTCAAGACAATGTATATTGTTCAGAAGTAAATGAAATGAAATGTCTATCTCGTTTGCCCCCTATTCCATAAGAAATCTACAAGTTTTAATATTGGACTTTTGAGTTGTCTCAAGGTGTATATGAAAAACTAAGTAGATATATGTACAAAGTACTTCTACAGTCTTTCTGCTTTGCTGCTTTCTTTAAAACCTTATAAGTCAGTCGATTCCATCACTCAGTCTAACTTTTTTAAATGTATTGATTTCATTTAGTTGTCTACATTGATATAATACTTACATAGATGAGTAATTACCGCCTAAAATCGTTGCTACTGCACATATGTCCACAGGCATATGCGTAGCAAACGTCAATTCATTATTCAATGTGGCGTCAACCGAGTTGAACATAGCGACACATGACAGTAACAATCGCCAAAATGGCTAAATGCGTAGTGAAAGAATGCGATTTAAGGTCAAAAAACATTAATAAATCATGCGGAATTACTTTTCACGTGTAAGTTTATGGTTTTTGTATTGATAATATCGTAAATAAGGCTATAATTGAAATAAAACACTGATAATTGTAATCTAGAATCAGTGTTACCATTAAAAAATCATTTTGGTTTTCCCACATTAGTGGGAGAATTTATAATTTATGAAATAATATGCTTTATACTGTTTTTAAACATTTTGCCAATAATAATAAAATATAGGAAGAACGGTAGTTGCTAGGGCTGGACCGATCCCTTTTTTTAGGGACCCGTTGAACGTTCACTGCGAGCTTGGTAGAAGTGCCAAGCTCGCAGTGCTGGAGACTTTTGTACAAAAAAATTAATTAATTGTTTTTCTTAATTTATTATCAATTTTAAATAATAATTGTACAAAATAATAATAATAATAATAAATGTTTATCATAAAAAGAAAATATAAAATAAAAAAGTAAATAAACATAAATAATTTTTTTTATAAAATAAAAATAAAAAAAAAATTTTTTTTTTTATTTGTTTTTTAAATTATAATAGAATTTGCAATACACCCTGGGGATTATTTATTATCAGTACAAGTTGATCATTCACTTTTATTATTAAATGCTATTATTTATACATACGTAAAAATAAGATTGTATCATGAAAGTAAAATATCCACACAAACTTATAAAAAGAGTCTAAAAGACAATTGTATACAAAACTCATGCTTCACAGCGCAGTTTGATTTTACACTGAATATAAACCCTTTTAACCAAATATTTCCAGTTATTTTATTATTTATACCTATTCTATTCAATGCGAAATATATTATTTAGAATATTTAAATTAATTTATTTTATTACAAAATTGTTTTAAAAAAAAATTGTTTCTTAGTTGTTATGGGTAAAATTTCATACGGTAGTCAACACTGGCCCACCATCGTAAAGTTATATCTTTGTCTTTGTCTAATCCGAGCGATGCTATTGTTCTTGTCTCGCGTGTAAATGAGACATAAATATGTTTACTTTCAAATGTTTAGTGGTATCAAAGCTACGTCGTCAAAGTTCAAAAGTGGTTACACTTTTTTCGACGTGTGATAATGAGGTTTGCTTCTCTAGTGTTGTTTTAACTCAATGGTTGTCTACCCATTAAATACAATAGTGCCGCAAATGGCGCCACCTATTAGGCTGACATTAACAAAGTTGAACTCATTTATGTAATGCTGCCTTACGAAGCCAGATGGCACTGTATTTTTTGCAGCAAATGACATTAAGCTGTTTAAAATTAAATAGGAAAGAAATAATCTCGGTGTCAAATACAATATTTTAAGTATTCAATTTATTGCAGTCAGCATATATAGGTTTCATTTGCCTCGATACTAACTTAGTTACGAAAAATATAATTTATTCTTCAGAATATTTCCATACAAATAATGATTGGTTTAATAATAAAAGCCTGTTAATAATAGTTAATAATTATGTAAGGCAAAATGCAAAGTAAGCACATCGAGTGCGTACTTGCTTAATTTAATAAAAATAAAAATATAGTCTATGAAAAATACCATAGAGTAAAATTTCTGGTAATTAACCAACATTACGAAAATATTTATAACCTATAAAAGATAAAAAAATAACAATGAATAAGGTTTAAAACATAACTGAAAAAAAGCCAAATAAAGTCTTCTTATGATTGTCGGTTAGAAATAACAATTTTCTTACAGATCAATAAACAACAAGTGATTCATGTGTGCACTTCACGTTTGACAATGCTTTGACGTTTATTTTCGCGGTAGACAAGTGATACTTCTTTCGATGAAACCTATGGTGGAATTTTGTTGACGTTTACAATTTCATATCAAATTCTAAACAAAGTGATATAATAAAGTTCCTATGGTTATATTAAATGACTCAACATTGGTAAGTACTTGTGTTTCACTGTCTTATTGTCGTAAGTGAAGGGCTAGACTATCACTTCCGCTATGACAGGAAAAGGAAGTGTGTGTTATGGCGGTCGAAGGCATGCTTTTAGCAATGAGCTCGACATCCTTATCCTGTTACATTTCGATCAATAAATTGAGATTTCAAAGCGCGAATCGAAACGTTTAGATATTATTGTTTCGAAGATTGTCTGTTAGTTAAGAGATGAATAATCAGCAATCAATAATGACAAAATCTTTCTTTCTTCATTTAGCAAATCTTCAAGTGTCAGAGGATGCACAAGTTGATGCATTTGTTAAATAAATTAGTAATTGACATATTTAAAAACAAACTTTTTTTTTTTAAATTACGTCAAAAGTAATTGCCTCAACATTCAAAATAATATTCTGTTCTGAACTTGAGTTAGAATATTACTGAACTGAAATGTTATTGAACTCAAGTTCTGAACAGAATGTTACTTCTTAATCATTTTTTTAAGGTACAATAATGCAGTCCATGCTTAAATATAGACAGCATTATTGTACCTTAAAATAATGTCTACTGATCAGAAGTTAGTAGGTACCTACTCTAAGGACACTAACTTGTGAATAAGAAATATTATTTCAAAAAATTAAATAACTTAATAGCTAACTAGACTCGTAATTAAGGGGCTTGATAGGCTTTTAGTCCTTTAAGCTATGCCAATTCTCTTGGTGTTTTAAGTTTAAGGTCTTGCAAAGGCTTAAGCTTTTTTAAGATTAGTGTAACAACAGTAACGCTTATTAACCCTCTGAAAAAGCTATGAAGCTTTTAGTCCTCGAGGCTGTCGCCATATAAGTAACAATGGCTTACTTCTTATTTTATTATTAACTCTTTGTTCCATGTCTTTTAAATATTGTCGTAATAAGAAAGAAACTAAACTGTGTCTTTGGTATTTGAAGTTTAATTAACTGAAAAGTTCTACATTAAAACCAAAAGTACATTGATTGAGTCAAACAAGCTCAAAAATATGGCATTTCATATTTTATCTATATCCGATACAAGTGTTCCCAGTGAACAATCTTTTGCCGAAGCAGGAAATATGGTAAAAAGAAAAGGATATCACCCGTCTAATAAAAACATTATATCCTCAATGTGCCTTTCATCATTGTAAAATTGTTTTTGTGATACTTTTGCTTAAAATAAATGCAATATAAAATAAATGTTGTTTTGATATGATGGCTTACATAGGCTGACTCAAAAAATGGCCCTAATGTAAGCCTGTTGTTTAATTATTTCTTTTACATTAGTGTATTGACATCGGTCCTCGATATATCTACAAAGTTTGAACGAATTCTGACCGTTTAAAGTCAGTCAAATTCATGCCCAAAGGAATCTGTTACAAACAAACATACAAGTGAAACTAATATAAAGCGTGTAAAAAGACTCCAGTCACAAAAAAATCCTAAAGGCTTTTATAGGCTCATAGGCGTATTCAATTGCTGAGGCTAAAGCCCTTTTTTATTAGCATAGAACACTTATATGTATATATATAGATGCCATTAGTGCACTAGCGTTTAAACAACTATGTATGTGATTGTTTCAGATGAAGCATTATGACATCAGATCTTTGCACCGATGATGTAGTGGTGCACATTACACCGCAGATCATTTCAGTGAGTTTTATTTTAGGTACTTAATTAAATTGGTATTTAGCACATTCAATAATTAATGTTAAAATTATAAAGAATACCTATCCTCATGTTCAGACCATAATAACATATGAATAGTTATCAGAAATTAGATAAAACATGTGAATTATTGTGAAAATAAATTGTTAGTAGATAATATTTAGCAAAACATTTAATTGGGTCCCATCTTAATATAACTTCACTTTGTCCACTAAACTGTAGTTAATGAATATTGTTATTATTAATTGTTATATGCTCATTGGTGTAATCAAAATATTGAATTACTGAACCGTACAATGTATTTATTTAGAAATATATAAGGTGGTATGTTTATCAGCAGTCTCGTTACAATCGTGGAGGTTCTGCCTCTATAGAATATATTCTCCGAGATTCAAGTTTGAGTTACACGTTTTTGCTGTATCATGTTCAGTAAGATGTTGGATATAAAAAATCATGGGGTTTAAGGTTTATATATAAGGTTATAATTTCCAACGCTATAACTTTGTAGGTAGTAGTTTAAAAGCGTTTAACTATTTTTATTCATTTTTTGAGGTTAGAAGAAAATGCTGACGAGATACAGCAACTTAAGCGGATGCGTGCACGGATGGCGTAGTGGTTTAAGTGGTCGCCACGCCGCTTCCTACTACGCCGAGTGTTGTGGGTTCAAACCCCACATGGGACAACACTTTGTGTGATCCACAAATTGTTGTTCTGAGTCTGGGTGTTCTTTGTGTCCGTTTCATGTATGTTTGTAAAGTCCCCCGCGACACAGGAATATGTATTCCTAATGCGAGCGTTGTCTTTAAAAAAAAAAAAAATAAGTTACGGATTTGGATTCAGCGGCCCAAAAAACATATACACGGTCTGGTCGAAGGATTTTTTCATCGATTTTTTTTGGGGTCCTGTGTTATTTATGATTCATTAGTCTTAACTTAGAATGAGTTTATTTTTTTACTGCAGTCTGAGACAATATCTTCGGCGCCGACATGCGGGGGCGGCGCGGCGGGGTCGCGAGTGGCGGCCTCCTCCGCCGCCGTGGAGCTGGGCCGCCGCCTGCTGCTGGCCGCCCGCGCCGGGGACACCGCGCTCGTCCTCGACCTCATGGCTAAAGGCGCGCCCTTCACCACCGATTGGGTACGCCCTCGTCCTTAACCAAAGTATTCGAACGTGCGAAACGGCAAAGTAGCACCGCACCGCGTGTTGCAGCTCGGCACGTCGCCGCTGCACCTGGCGGCGAGCAACGGCCACGCGGAGACGTGCGCCGTGCTACTGCGCGCCGGCGTGTCGCGCGACGCGCGCACCAAGGTGGAGCGCACGCCGCTACACCTGGCGGCCTACGGCGGCCACGCGGCCGTCACCGCGCTGCTGCTGCAGGCCGGCGCCGCCGTCGACTGCCGCGACATGCTGCGCATGACGCCGCTGCACTGGGCCGTGCAGGTAAGCCCGCGGCCCGCCGCTCGCGCGAGGCCCCGTGCGCTCGCCTCTAGCCCTGTCCCGGTTGCAGCGCGGGCACGCGGCCACGGCGGCGGAGCTGCTGGCGCACGGCGCGGAGCCGGCGGCGCTGTCGAAGTTCCACAAGAGCCCGCGCTCGCTGGCGCTGCAGCTGCGGCGCGACGACCTGCTGCGCCTGCTGGACGACGCGCAGCGCCAGCGCGAGGCCGCGCGCTCCGTGCACCACCTCGTCTCCGGTACCTCTCTCGCTTCTCCGAATCGCTCTTTGTACTCACGTACGCATGTATGAATACCGACCACGAAAGTTCTCATTCTAAAGAAACGCTCTATTTCAGAACAAATGAGCCAGGAGCCTTCACCGGAGCCTCCTATGCAAACATTTGATGCGGTGCAGAGTAAGCATATTGTCTCTAACGATTAATCTTCGTCAGTTGTAGTTATATATCAGCAGTCGCGTTCGTTCACATGGTATCATATTGTTTATAGGGATACAGGATATAAAGCCCAATAGAATTAAGCAGCAGCCAGAGAAAGTAGTCAAGACCGATACGAAGACTGAGGTGAGTGTAACGTTCTGCGCTTTTCTTAAAGTATTTACACCTGTAGGTTTGAAGTGTAAAGAAATGCAACCCTAACGTCCGTCGTGATAATTGATAAGAATTATTACTCGATGGAAAAAGACGCAACTTTTAGGTAAATAAAACTGTGTTTTATTTACCTAAAAGTTGCTATTCTATTTACCGAAGTTGGGAGTGCGACCTGTTTTATAGACGTGCGCGAAACGTTTTATTGTAATGAAGCAAGAGCAACTGCGATATATATATATAAACGGGCGGTTGTAGATCGGCACAGGCATATATAATGGATTGAATTCATTTTACTTTATATTTCACAAATAGTTTATTGCCATTGTGTGTGTGTGTGTGTTGATCTATGATTTTAGAGTACATTAAAAACAATTTCAAATAATTTTTATTAAGCTATTGCATAGCTTCTATCGCGGGCCCTGAGCGTGGAAACCGAATCCAGAAATTCCGTAACGAAAACCGAAACCTAACACACCCCACTCCGACCGGCACAGCGGTGATAGTTTTGCCATCTATCGATGAATAGCAGAACTTTTTTTAAGGTAGGGTGTTCCTTTGATATGACAAAGGGGGGAGACCAGTTTATTTTTATTAATGTAATAACACATCCACATACAAACCGCCCCCCCCCCCCCCACCAAACATTTTATAATTGCATTGAGGTCCCTTCAAAATACCTTCCCTTCTCTCCCCTCCACTTTTTTCATTTATCCCCCCTTTGATTTTCTCGGTACCTGGAGCACTTGGACTCCCATGTTTGGGTTTGTCTGAACCGGGAAAAGGAGTCGAACAATCTGGCCCCAACAGATTTTTTTTGAAAAGTATCGTAACATGTAACAACACTTCAGTCTATTTTTCTATAGAGGGGCGGGGGGGGGGGGTGATCTTTTCGATGGATGACTTATTTTTCTATGATTGCATTGAGGTCCGCACAAAATACTTCCTCTTCACCCTTGAAGTTTTCATTTATCCCTTCTTTAATTTTCTCGGTTCCTGGAGCACTTGGACAGCCCATGTTTGGGTTCGTCTGAACCGGGATAAGGAGACGAACAATCTGGCCCCTACAGATTTTTTAGCTGGTACCCGCGACTTTGTTCGTGTGGAATTTGAAAACACTGCCTTAGTGGGTTCGATTTCGGAGCCGGGCAAAATTCTATAGGATTTTCCTAACATAATTATTTAACACTAGCTGGTACCCGCGCTTTCGTTCGCGTGGAATTTGAAAACGCTGCCTTACTGGGTTCGATTCCCGCCCGGGCAAATTTCTATAGGGTTTTCCTGAGATTTGATACTAAATCGATAAAAAATGCTATGCAATAGCTTTACCGCGGCAGTCCCCGAGTACCACACGTCTTTTTTTTATGAATTAAAGATATTTTGACTTTGATCATGTTATACTAGTATTATAGCTAGGTGTAGTTTTACCAAAAAGTTTCACAAAGTATTGTTACATGGCCAGAACTTAATCCGTGGTAAATCGTCCATATCTAACAAATATGCCACCGCCGACAGAGCCAGCGAGAAGGCGCGGCGGCCCAGCTGCTCCGCAAGCACGGCATCACGCTGCTGCCCACGGACGACACCAGCACCGTGCTCAACGCGCTGCAGAGCGGCCGGACCGTGGTGCTGTCGGGTGCGTGACCCGCCTACACTACACCACACTACATACATATACACTACACTGCGGACCACATACTTTAAAATAAAGTCTATCTTGTTACACAGATGCTGGCAAATTAATGTTAAAAGAGAGCAGCGAAACGAGTCAACCCGCGGCGAGTAAACCCTCGCCGTCGACGACCCATCCCAACAAGAACATGGTGCTCACCGCCACGCCCGTGAAGTCTCCACCGAAGCCCGGAATGAAGATATTCACACTGAACAATAAATTACTGGCCGTGCCTAAGGAAGGCAACAAGATACCGGTGAAAAAGATCATTAACCCACAAGATATGCAGGTAAATTATAGTCGCCGTTTTAGATAACTTGAGAAATAAATTATTATCAAATATCTTAATATTTTTATTGTTTACTCTTCAAGTGAAAACTTCTTCAGGCTCGTTGAGCATTTTTAAACAACAAATAAAAGAATGTATTTCTTGTGATGGGAAAAACTATTGAACACGTGACACTGTTACCGTTACCGACACATTTTTTTTTGAGATGGGCAAATCGACACCTTTGTATGGGAGTTTTCACTTTTGTTGGTATTCCCGGAGTGCCACTGGTTTTTTTTTATTTATTCATTTTTGTGTGTCACGTAATATAGAAATTAAAATGCTTAAGGATTATTTGAATTCGACGTGTCTCACGTTCGCCGGCAGGTGAAGTTCGTGCAGCTCCCCGCCGACGCGAAGATCATCTCTCCCTCCAAGGTGGTGGGGGTGAGGCGGCCCGCCGCCGCTCGACCCGCGGGGCAGCGACCCGCCGTCAAGATCATCATGAACAAGTCCAACTTCCATCGTCTCGTCGCCAACGCGAATCGCGCCGACGAGGCTCGGGAGGTATGCGTTCGAGGGCTCCATCCTTTCCCGTGTCCGACGGTATCGTTATACGAGAACACGTCTACTATGCGCTAATTGAAATACTTTGCACGCTCTAATCGATTTTGTATCGATATTAAATATAGTCCCTAGTAATATTCCATTAATATTTAGTTCTCGATCTAGTGTTCCGGTCCACAGCGTCTAACAACGTACGTGGTCGTTTCAGAGCTCCACTCCGTCTCCGAGCGCGTCGAGCGCGGCTGCGGGCGCGGCGGGCGAGGAGGGTGCGGCGGGTGCGGGGGGCGCGGCGAGCCCGGCCGAGCTGCGCGCGCAGCTGAGCGCGGCCCAGCGCGCGCTGGCGGCGCTGCGCCACGAGCTGCGCACCACGCGCGCCAAGCTCGCGCACTACGAGAGGCTCGACCCCGCCTAGCTCCAGCGCGGCGGGCGAGGAGGGTGCGGGGGGCGCGGTGAGCCCGGCCCGAGCTGCGCGCGCAGCTGAGCGCGGCCCAGCGCGCGCTGGCGGCGCTGCGCCACGAGCTGCGCACCACGCGCGCCAAGCTCGCGCACTACGAGAGGCTCGACCCCGCCTAGCTCCAGCGCGGCGGGCGAGGAGGGTGCGGGGGGGCGCGGTGAGCCCGGCCGAGCTGCGCGCGCAGCTGAGCGCGGCCCAGCGCGCGCTGGCGGCGCTGCGCCACGAAGCTGCGCACCACGCGCGCCAAGCTCGCGCACTACGAGAGGCTCGACCCCGCCTAGCTCCAGCGCGGCGGGCGAGGAGGGTGCGGGGGGCGCGGTGAGCCCGGCCGAGCTGCGCGCGCAGCTGAGCGCGGCCCAGCGCGCGCTGGCGGCGCTGCGCCACGAGCTGCGCACCACGCGCGCCAAGCTCGCGCACTACGAGAGGCTCGACCCCGCCTAGCTCCAGCGCGGCGGGCGAGGAGGGTGCGGGGGGCGCGGTGAGCCCGGCCGAGCTGCGCGCGCAGCTGAGCGCGGCCCAGCGCGCGCTGGCGGCGCTGCGCCACGAGCTGCGCACCACGCGCGCCAAGCTCGCGCACTACGAGAGGCTCGACCCCGCCTAGCTCCAGCGCGGCGGGCGAGGAGGGTGCGGGGGGCGCGGTGAGCCCGGCCGAGCTGCGCGCGCAGCTGAGCGCGGCCCAGCGCGCGCTGGCGGCGCTGCGCCACGAGCTGCGCACCACGCGCGCCAAGCTCGCGCACTACGAGAGGCTCGACCCCGCCTAGCTCCAGCGCGGCGGGCGAGGAGGGTGCGGGGGGCGCGGTGAGCCCGGCCGAGCTGCGCGCGCAGCTGAGCGCGGCCCAGCGCGCGCTGGCGGCGCGCTGCGCCACGAGCTGCGCACCACGCGCGCCAAGCTCGCGCACTACGAGAGGCTCGACCCCGCCTAGCTCCAGCGCGGCGGGCGAGGAGGGTGCGGGGGGCGCGGTGAGCCCGGCCGAGCTGCGCGCGCAGCTGAGCGCGGCCCAGCGCGCGCTGGCGGCGCTGCGCCACGAGCTGCGCACCACGCGCGCCAAGCTCGCGCACTACGAGAGGCTCGACCCCGCCTAGCTCCAGCGCGGCGGGCGAGGAGGGTGCGGGGGGCGCGGTGAGCCCGGCCGAGCTGCGCGCGCAGCTGAGCGCGGCCCAGCGCGCGCTGGCGGCGCTGCGCCACGAGCTGCGCACCACGCGCGCCAAGCTCGCGCACTACGAGAGGCTCGACCCCGCCTAGCTCCAGCGCGGCGGGCGAGGAGGGTGCGGGGGGCGCGGTGAGCCCGGCCGAGCTGCGCGCGCAGCTGAGCGCGGCCCAGCGCGCGCTGGCGGCGCTGCGCCACGAGCTGCGCACCACGCGCGCCAAGCTCGCGCACTACGAGAGGCTCGACCCCGCCTAGCTCGAGCAAAGACCGAACACACGCCGACGACGGACCGCTGGCCCCGTAACGACATACAACAAAAGTGCGCTCGCTCATAGACTCGTACGGTACGCGCTATAGTGATATGAATCGCGCTAAACGACTTAACACAAATATAATACACTTCTTATTTTAAGACCGAACGTTGGTCTTGAAAATTAACTCAAACTAAATTTTCGCCAGACGATTGATGAGTTTTTCCATAAGTAGCAAACGAGCAGACGAGGTTTGGACTCCTATATTATATCCTCACTCACTCAATGAAAAGCAACAAAAAATTGTTTAACTCTGTTTTTCTGTGAACTGGCCCGTGTTCCAAAAAAAAAAAAAACAAAACAACTCTACAAACTATACATCCACTACTCGTAATATAACAGTTTTAGTCTTTTCATAACACTAGATCTTTACATGTCCTATACTAACGCTAAAATTTAACTACATTTTTTTGTACACTAACTTCAACGAACCGAATACCAAACCTACCTGTCAACTGTTCAGAGGATTTTTACCTTGCATTAAAAGAACGCATCCCCCGTTCCTCAACAAGTAATAGAATTTAAAGTTGACTTTTTTTTTTGACACATCTCACACGGCCGACTAATCCCAAACTAGGCAGAGCCTGTACTATGGTAACCAGACTGCTGATTAACATACTTATATAGTTTTAAATACATATACGAGTATATTTAGATAAATTACACCCAGGCACAGAACAATAATCGTGCTCATCACACAATATTTGTCCTGGGTGGGAATGTTTGTTTCTCATAAATAAGCAAAAAACTGATGTTAAACTTAAGTAGAGATAATAAAATACTTGTGTAAGTTTACTTGAGACAAATAGGACAGATCTTTTATACTTTTATACTATTGAAGCGTGTCTACGCTTTACACGCAGGCAACTATTGCCTTGTAAGTCGATCAGCTACATCTACGCATGCGCTCTTTTCACTTGATTCCCCCCGACTCAAATCCCCAATTGGGGATTGTACAACAGTGAGTGTTCCATTGCAATTCGATCGCCGATCGAACTAATGAATTTATTTCCTTTTTAGTCCCCTCTAAAAATAATAAAACATAAACTTACTTTCACCGTAACACCTAAAACAACAACATTTTCTTTTTGGTTTAGAACCAAAAACTCAAATAGTTTAATTTATTTAAACATTTCTATCATATAATGACCGACTGTGATATTTGCGTTTACTTGCGCACCGTGGACCCCGCGCGCCCTTTAGGGAGTAGAATGGGAACACCGTGGTTCCCACACACGACGGGGTCATCTACAAGCAGTAGATTTCCTTAACATTGTAATACTTCAAATTTAGCTAAACACGTGGTACGAACTTACTGAACACCCGTGTGTACAAAAGTAACTGAACAAAATTGTATCCAAAACATATTAACATACCCCATGTAATAATGTACTATTTATTGCTAATATTGCTGACACGACATTGTGCATGGGGTGCATTGCCCATACACAACGAGTGTCACTTAACCCTCATAATTTTCTAATTAGTTTCGTTCGTTTTTAAGTATTACCCTAATTGTCAGAAGAAGCAAACAACATTGTATCCAAACTACCAAAACATCGTGCGTTCATTCGTTGCTAAATACTTCCCTGACTGTTTATTCAAAGTAGCTAAACAACTTTTTCTCCAGAAATAATGTCCTAGACGTGTTCGTTTCCAAAAAGGAACTTATACATACATCGATTCAAATGAGTTTAGAAAACATATTTGTGAGCTTCATTTACATCCCAAAGCGATCCATGCATCTACTTAGGCGAGCTGACTGTACATGCCATGTTCTAGTTCGGCAGTTAGCCTCCTATGGACTTGAATAAGTTATTAATATTGTAAAGCCGAAGGATAGACATTGTAAATACATGAAATAGTAAGAGTAAATACATATATGTAGTTAGTAGGTTGTCCGGTCGTGTTACGTGTATAGCAATATGTGTGGTTCTATTGGATCGTGATCGGCGAGGGTCTCAAGTGACCGATGTTATAATTTAATGTACCAAATCTAGAATGTGTATTTGTAATTATGTTATATTAACATATAAACTTGTGTATGGTTTTTTATAAGGTCGCGTTTACCTACAAGCTTCAAAATGTAAGTGTACAAATAATATCAACCCACGTACAATAGAACAAGGCACTGGAAGTGACCAGTTGAGACTGTATATAATGTATATTGGCACAACGTGAACAGCGCGACCGCTGCATTGTAACGAGTATTATTAAGGAAATAAATATATTTAGTTTTGTTAAAAGATCATTTATTTACAACCATGTTTATAACGTTCCCAGATTTTGATCCATTTCCACCTGAGCAATATTGCCGGCACTACGACACTTACACAGAGCAACATTGTATTCTACTTACATGTAGCATTGCTTATGCATTACTGAATGAAGTTAAAATGACACAAACAAATTGATTTGTCCAACCTGATGGTTTTATAAAATCAATAAATGGCTGGCCAGAGATCAAAATATACCCAATCCAATGTTGCTAGGCGTTGGCTAAGCGAAGCATGAGCTAAGTGTTATCTTGGCACTAAGTCTTAACCTGGCACCAGATTTGGTATTATTCCGGTGATAGATCCTAGCCCACGGCGACAGATAAGAAGTGTTAGGTGCTGGCTGGAGTAAAGTTTTAAGTGTTGTCCCGGCGCTGGGTCCTCGCCTGCAACACGTCGCGGAACTGCGACAAGATGGCGTTCTCTCGCTTGGCGCGCTCCTCCTTGCTGAATGCTGCCAGCGCGCGTTTCTCGTCGGCTGAATAGATCTGGTTTTCTTTACGTATACGTACAGCTTCCATACGACGGTGTCTAGAATGTTACAAATTTAATTAGAAACTGCCAAATGTAAGTATTAGAATATATTAGATTACGTAAGACTCACATCACATGAGAAATTAAAACAAAAGGTTTTTCAAAAATAGTATATACATATTATCTGTGTGGTGACAGACCCTGGAGTCACGGAGTGTGAGAGCCGACCGTGCCGTGGTAACAGCACTGCAAAGATGAGGAAAACTTGACACAAACACTATACTCCTCTGGCAAGTGTCGTATAGTAGGCCAAAACCTCCTTTCTAAGAAGAGGCCTATGTCCAGCAGTGGACTATTAAAGGCTGTTGATGAATTAATAATAACATTAATAGACATGTACCTGCTTCCACTCATTACATATCCAACAGCCTCATATGATGCAATTTCATCTGAAGTCAGTCCAATTTCACCTCTCCTGGGTATCCTCTTTCCTTCAGCTACATAAGCGGCCATGGCAGCACCTTCACCAGGTAGCAAGGCTCGTCCAAAGTCTTTGTGTCCAAGTGCTGGTCCCACACGCGGAACAGGCCCAAATGCTTCTGAAGCCAATTCTTCAGATTCTGTGTCCTTGTTAGATGACTTTGATTTGGTAATAGTTTCTTCTATTTCATGTTCCTCTGCAAATAGTAAGCAATAAATAAAATTTGCTGACTGCTAAACACATTATCCTATATTGCCATATATCACACAAATTATTTGTCCTGGATTAGAATTGGTTATACGAGTTCTAGTTCAGCAGTCAGGAATTTGCAACCATGTTTATTTATTTTTTAACCCTAGCTGTACCCTGCCACACTTCGCTGTAGCACATTTTAGTTGCAAAAAATTGAAAAAGCCATCTCTGAAGCATGTTGTATATCGTGCCAAAATTTGACCTATACTTTTTGAGTTTTTGCATACACAAAGAACACATATACTAAAAATTAGTAGTCTCTTTTGAGATATTATTTCTATACTCACAGGAAAATCAAAGTATCCAAAATCTAGATGACATACAACCTGGTCAATATTATAGGACTGCCACATGAATGGTCTGTGCTGAATCAATAGTTAAATAGAATATCAGTGCATACTGTTGGTATAAACTAGTTCATACATATCACATCGCTTTTGCTGATATCTATTTCACCATAGTAAGTACTAACATAACATAGAAATACTAAAACAAAATGGTGACTGAGGGGTACAGATAAAAAGCTATGATGCTGCCTGCCTGCCCTGTGAGGCCCTGAAATGTATAAACCAAAAGTCCCTGACATCTTTTTCTGATGGACACAGATGTACGGTCTTTGAACATATCGCACCCTTGGTGCAACAAAGTCACAAGTAGGCAAAATGACTTAAGTATGCCAAATTGTCTATAAACCATTTCTTCGTTTGGGAAATCAAAGACAGCCGCGAAAGTATTTGAATATATCGATAGATGGCATTAGTGCCTTTGTGGTTCTTGCTACTTTTTCGACGAATATTGGGAGAACAGAATATGATTGGTAAGTAGTGACCCCGCGCCCGCTTGAGTCAGTCGTGACTTGGAGCTACACCGGCTTAAAGGTATTAATGACAATTTTTATTCACGTATATTGAAATAACAAAGTGCCATTATAACGATCAAATAATTAAATTATATTTGTACCTGGTGCGACATAGTCAAAAGTTACGACTTTTTTTTTTGTTTCCTTTTTTTTTCAATTTTCTAATAAAATCAAAGAAATCTTTTTACATGATACTGTAGTTAAAAGAACAAATAATATAATTTTAATGAGATATCCCGGCTGCTGTAAGTAGTTATCTAGAAAAAAGGAAAATTGATCGAAAAAAAACTTAAAAGTCCGTTCCTGTAAAATTACAAAATGACCTGTTGTGAGGGTGCAATATGTAGTAATTCCCATCTATCATGCGATGGACCTGGCACCAGCACAGTGAATCCATAGGTGGTGAAGAAATGGTCTTTTCTGTGTGTGTATATATGTGGTTAGACCTTCAAAAGTCCAAAACCATGGTTGCCAAACAACTGTCCATGATCACCATTATTAAATGTTGTTGATAAGGGACTTAGCATTCCATTACATGAACAACAACAGCAACATATATAATTATCTATGTTGCTGTTGTTGTAATGTGTCACATTGTCTTATGTAGCCCTTGACAAACAAAGGTTCAAAAGCAGCAATAGAAAGCATAACATGGAATAGGCACATCTTGAGCAAGGAACTGATAAAATCTAAAAAAGCAAAAACATCACTTACTTCCTTTTTCTACCCATATTTCATCTTCGCTACTGGAACTGTCATCACTGCTCGAACTCTTTGCCTTTTTCTTTTTAGCCTTTTTACGAGCTTTCTTCACCTTCTTGAGTTTCTTCTTCAACTTTTTAAGTTTTTCTTTAGTTTGATCTTTGTCTTTGGACTTTTTGCTTTTTTTCTTTTCTTTACTACCATTGACTTTGGTAGGTTCTGGTTCTTCCTCGGAGCTAGACAGTGATTATATTTTTATTATTTTTATACACATTTCAACTGCTCTTTATGAATAGACAGTTTGAAAGCTGCCTTGACATTGTTGCAGTATTTGACTAACATACAAAGTTCATACTAACTCAGGTCTTAGAGGAGATTTTCCCCAAACTGATGACACACCTATTTGTCCAATTCTCTCTCGTTCCTCTCTTCTGGCATCTAAAAATTCTTCCTCCTGAGGTTTGTACCGACCACGAGCTGATGGACCTCCGCCACTTCCTAAACCTAAATTATAATATTAAAAATTGGTCATAAATTTTTAAAACTAAATAATATTGTAAGCATAGTTCTTTCTAGATACTATTTTTGATTGAGAAAAACTATGATGAGCTTATATAATAATTTAAAGAGACTTCAAAACTATTTAACAGGTACTCTACAATGAAACCATAAATATCGGAGATATTTGATTACCTCCGCCTAGACCTCCTCCACTATACCCCCCATCTCTGTACGAGCTACGCCCCCTATCGCGATCCCGATGTGACTTCTCAGCCCTGTCTCGTTCTCGACTATCATCATGTTTAGTCCGCGTCCGGTCATCTTTTCCACCGCGGTCTCTACTGCGGTCCCGACTTCGATCACGCGTGCGATCTCGCCTGTCTCTACTTCTGTGTCGTTCTCCACTACGACTACGGTGGCGTTTACGCTCACTATCACCTCCCATCGCAGTGTGTATTTAAGAGTTTTCAAACCTTGTTACACTTTTTACTACACATTAACATTCACGAGTACGTTAAACATTTTATTTACACTTTAGCAGGAATATCATTTTTGATATCAAAAAGTTATTCAAATTCGTTTCAATTATTATAAATCTCTTTGAGTATATTTACAATATTTATAAAACACAGCGACAAATACAATGAACAAAACCACAAGTCGCTCATGTCAATAAATGACAATTGATCGACATTTGACATTCATCTTCATCATTGACAATTGAAATTTTCAGGGCTGCCAATTGAGTGTAGAAGTAAATGAATTTATTTCTAATAAGATCAAATCAAATCAAATCAAATCCTTATTTGCCAACCAAGTGTACATCAATGATCTTATAATATTATATGTAGCAGTCCCAACTTAGAAGCCTTTTCCAGGCATTGCAAAAATTTGAGAGAGAACGTAGAAAGAATAAATTGTTACACAAGTACAGGCATTTTTTGAACAATACAAATTAAGTGACTCAATAGTACAGTATAACAATCGAACAAAGCATGCAAAAATACGAAGATCACTTAAATATAACAACAACAATTTTTAAAGCTAATAAAAGGTGCAAGAAAGTGTAAATTAAATAAAATTAAGTTAGAATATTTACAGCAATAGAATATCTACATAAAAGCATCAAAAAATTCCTCCGCATCATCGCCTACTAGTAGCGTTCCCAGAAGACTGGCACAGAGAATTAGCATTGCCATTCAACGTGGCAATGCTAATTCTCCGTGCTAGGAAAAGACCAGCCTTCTGATCACGAGAAGTGTCAATCAGTAGTTTAGCTAGCTCTTTATATATAGTACGAGCACTTGGACCCCATGACCCTAAAGTTTCGAAGCCAAACGGTTCAAAAATGTAATTTCCTACTAATTTCTGATATTTACGCCTTTTGAGGGTTTCTGCAGATGCAGCAGCAGCGCCGGCGTAACCAGCAGTGCTTGGCAAATGTGATGGCGCAAGGGTGTCGACGCAGGTTGCGTCCCACACCAAAGGCTGTAATTTTGTTGTGTTATTTTTTTATATATATTTTGTTGAAGTAGTTCAATCGTAGAAGTTCAATCTAACCATACAAGAGAATTCTAGACTGTTCAAATTGCAATGATAACTTATATCAGTATACCCAACCACATGGTACAATTTTCATTATAGGTATTAATAATAAATTTGCATTGTAATATACAGAGTTGACAAATCAAAGAAATTTGGTTGGTCACAAACCCTTTTTTTTTTTCTTTTTTTTTTTTTTCGGTGCGGAAATCCCCTCGGATACCACCTATCGGGGGCATGTCGGACTCGAACCGACTAAAACCGCACGCCGTCTCGGGTACTAATAGCCGGGGAACCAGGTATACCCTAGAAAGGAAGTCCCTGGTGCCCCGACATACCTCGGGTCATCTACAGACGAGTAGACGACCCCCCCCCTCCCCCGTGTGGGAACCCCATGCTCCCTGTGCTCCCTGGAAGCGAGCGCGCTTCGCAACGCGCTCGCCGCCACCCCGGCCTGCTTCTGCTAGGGTGACAGATGGCCTCACCTGTCACCCCCAGGCCTGCGCTTATGGAGGACGGAGGTCGTTCTGCGACCTCCGGCGCCTGAGTCGCCTGCGGTACCTGGCCCGTTCCCGGGCCTGGCGGGCCGGGAGAGTCCTAAACCTATCCCGGTCCCGCTCCGCCGTCTCCTTCGCGGGGTCACAAACACCTGACTTCGCCATATGAAATTAAATTTTGTGGAATTTTTGTGTTAAAAGTGTTCATATGAATGCTAAATGCAGCGGGGTCGCTTCAGCTTGCAAGTGGCGTAATTAGTAAGTAAGATTAATATCAAACAGTGAGACCACAGAAGAGAACGAGAAAGGCCTGGTTACATTAAAATGTAAATTTTCGTTAAGAACCAACATTCTAACTAATCCAATTCAACTCATCTCTCTGACCTTAGAGAGAAGAGAGAGAGAGAGTGATACTCTCTCTAAAGACATTGCTAGCTACAAAATAAGGTTCCCAACTTCCCACAGGAAAATCAATATTTTTCTAACGTTACATTACACTTAGTGACTGCATATAAGAAGTTAATGTAGGCAATTCCTTTGTGAGGGTATAATTAATTATCCTATTAAAAATACCCATTACCTTAAATAAATACGATTGCTGTAAACACAACTCTACAAATCTAAAAAAGTTAGCTATTCTAGTACGTAAAATGCATCTTTTTTTTGACATAAATATTTTATACTGTAAAGGAACGTTTGTGTAGTGTATCCGTGCGCAGCGGCGCGAGGCTTATAAATTAATTGCTTGAAGAAACACGCACATAAACATTGCGAAGGAATTAACATCGCAAAAAAAAATGAAGTTATCTACGCCGAGATATACATTTTGTATATTTTTTCAGGTCACGTTTATTACTTGTGACCTAATATTCAACTGTATTAGTTTATTTCCACGAAGTCGCGATGGTCTCTTAGTATTATTCATGTAAGAGATGATTTTACAAGTTTTTATTTATGTAACTTAGGTATTTAATAAATAGATAAATACAGATTTACTGCTTTATATTACAGATTTCAAGATTTATTTCTGGTGCTTTCTGTTACTACGATGTTGATGACATTCTTCTCAACATATTTATTTCAGGTAATTGATTATGGCTAAAACATACCTATTTAGCAAAAACGTAGATAATTACCTGAATTAGCTGTTATAGATATTTGTAGTTATAAATATAACTTGTTTTTTTTTTATATATCAGGCAGGTCTGGTAGAGGTGCTGGTGCGGAAGTTTCGTACGGCAGGCGCTGTATGCGTAGCGTATATTCTTGCTAGTGTGGCCCTGCACGCTGTTTGGCTTTTAGAAAAGTGGGACAGTCCTGAGAGTATCTCTACTCCCATGCTCATATTCCTGTTTACAGTGCAGAGATGCTGTGAGTATATGGTTTGAAATTGAGAAAGACTTAAATACACATGTTCAATAAATGTTAGAGAATCAGTTGATACAACAAATTTTCAATGAAGTCTATTAATGGTTCTAATGCAGATGGAAACTTTATCACACTATTGATGATGATCAAATATTTAAACAATAAAAATACATGAAACACTTGTGGTATTGCCATTGTAAAATAAACAAGAGAAATATGTTACTACACATTGGCCTTTTACTACTATGATGTCAGTATTCTTTGGGTTGTATTTCTCTCAGTATAGCAAAAACTAATGTTCTCAGGTCGGGATCTGCTTCAGTCTAGTCTCCTATAAGATCCTTATCTGTGCTGTAATGAGACATCATGTGTACAGATTTAATTAGATTTGAAAATTTCATTTGTTCTTTTTCCAGTGTCTCCTTGGTACTATTTCTTCTATAAGAGAGCAGCTCTACGGGTCAGCGACCCTCGATTCTATGAGGATATTGATTGGATCAACCAGCAGCTACAAACTCACTAGTGAGAAACTCTCACACAGGAACTGGATCAGACAAATTACTGGAATTTTTAGTACTTCTTAAATAAATACTTACAAGTAGGATTTGATTGAATACACAGGGGCATATTACTCCCACTTGTGTAAAATGAACTTCCAAAGACATATTTTTAAGAAAAACTAATTTTAGAATGTAAGTTGGGCAGCGCTGGAGTAGATGAGGTGCTCTGAAGGATTTTTAGGACTTAACTTTTACCCTGTGTGTATAGATGTGTAGGTCAAAGTGATTATATCATTATTTTGTAGTCAATGTTAAATATATATGACTTGGCAAATGTATTTTTTTAATAAATGCCCTATTATATGTGGTTTTCGTTTTTCCTTAAGAACTTCCACGAACACATACCTGATGAGTGTTACCATGCAGTTATGTCGAATTGTAACATACAAAGGCTACAGATCCAGTGCACAAAAGGCTTTATACTGCTGCACTACAAATTATTTATATCTACAAATGAGGTACATCAAAATTGATGGCTGTATGTATTTGAAGCCAAGCAATTCAAATTAGTCATTCCATGCCGAAAATTAAACTAGGATTATCTAAATTCATTTATTTATTTAATTAACAAAACATTTATACATTTCAGGATATATTTCCAAATGTCCAACCGTTACAGGGATTCGTGGCGATATTCACTTTGGTATTCATCAAAAACAATGTACCAACGGGTACTTCTTTACTAATGTGAGGAATTATACAAACTATTTAAATTTTACACAGTTTCTCAGTTTTGTATAAGGATTGCCTTTAAAGGGAATTTGTGTTTGGCGTGTGGTTAACGTCAGAAGATGGCTCGGCACAGCGGGCAGTTGGACTTGTTGCTCGTGCTGAACCATTTGCGCTGCAACAATGAAAATATATGCTATTATATTTAAACAGGCGACATTTATAGTTATATTCTAGTCAGTGTTAGGATGCATTTAGTTTGCGGTGATAAACATAAATAAAATATTAATCAAACTCAAAGCTTATCAAAGCAGCGCCTGCGCTCCAGTCCAGGGTCCGGTCCAGGGTTGCCATCGTTCATAGACAGTGGTCACCGTTCAGGGTAATTAAAACCAATGACGCCACATTTGTCTCGTTACCGTCGATGATGTTTACCAAGTAAAGAAAAGCAGTTCTGTATCGTTCAGGCTCTTTATATGGCAAAAGTCGTTTTATTTGCTGTGGAACCGACACAACTTGAACGTTGATCTTTGTTGAGACGTCTAATGCTATCGGTGTAATACGCTCGGTACTGACCACGCAGATGCTGTGGAACTTGTTCTTGCACTGGTGGCACGTGACGCTGGGCAGGCGGCCCGTGGTGGGGTGCAGGCGGCAGTAGCAGATGTAGCACTGCGGGGCCTTCTCCACGCGCGCGTTCACCGCCTGCGTCCAGATCTTCAGAGCGTTGAACAGCGTGCCGTTCTGCCAATAATATCATTATTAATATCTCTATATCATTATTCATTCTTATTAATATCTCGAGAACGATATCACCGAGCCCAAATAAATTTAGTAAAACGTTAAGAAGATGATAATGGTAAGATGAGACGTGTGTTTAGTGCTTATATTGAAACGTTTCATATTAATAACTAGCTTTCGTCCGCGTGGTAGTCGACATCAGACATCATAGTTAAGAGATACGATACTGAGAGTTAAGAATCGAAAAGTAAAAAAAGAAATAGTTACCCATCCAAACTTTTTAAGGGTAGTTATGTTTTTGAGTAGAGCGCGAGGTGCGTACCTGGTAGGTGAGGTAGAGCGCGAGGTGCGTACCTGGTAGGTGAGGTAGAGCGCGAGGTGCGTACCTGGTAGGCGAGGTAGAGCGCGAGGTGCGTACCTGGTAGGCGAGGTAGAGCGCGAGGTGCGTACCTGGTAGGCGAGGTAGAGCGCGAGGTGCGTACCTGGTAGGCGAGGTAGAGCGCGAGGTGCGTACCTGGTAGGCGAGGTAGAGCGCGAGGTGCGTACCTGGTAGGTGAGGTAGAGCGCGAGGTGCGTACCTGGTAGGTGAGGTAGAGCGCCAGCCAGGGCGCGGTGGCGGCGCCGCCGAAGCCCGGCGCCTCGAGGCGCGGCGGGGTGAGCGGGTGCGCGCGCGACAGCCACAGGTGCAGCTCCACCGTGCTGTCCTCCACGCGGTACTCGCACACCACCTCCCGCGTGGACCAGGAGATGCGCACCTCGGCGTCGTCGATCTCGCGCGCCCGGCGCTGCAGCTGCTCGAACTGCTCGGCCACGGCGGCGGGCGCCACGTAGGCCACGACGAGGCGCTCGAGCACGTGCGCGGCGCGCGGCGGGGCCACGCCGCGCCACGAGCGCGCGCCGCCGCAGCCCGCGCCGCACACCGTGCGCGCCACGCAGCGGCACGCCAGCGCCTGCACGCCGCGGCTGTCGCACGCCGCTGTACCACACCGCACGCGTTATACGACCGACCACCCCCCACCCGTGCGCCACACACGTTATCGCACACAAACTATTTTAGAATTCATTTAATCGATTTCTAATTTCTACTTATTTTCAGTATAGTAACACTGACAGTTAATTTTCAATTACAAAAATAAGACGAAGGAAAATTTGTCGATATAGTTAGAGTAGGTCTGGATTTTATTTTAATTTTCGGTTCATTCGTTATTTTCTATGGGGCCTACGACGATCCTTCTTATACATAGAGCGACACGGTAGAGAGTAGCCATACGCAGACGTTTTCCTCTGCTAAAGTATCCATATAGTCATAACCGTACAGTAGAATTAGTTGCGACCGCATTGCTCACTAGACTAATCTAGTTGCGCCACTGAGTACACGTATATGACGATATGTAAGTATTTTTTATCAAATTATTACTATTTTGTCATTTAGAAACTTAAAATAACATTTCTATTGTTTTCGATTTGCTTACCAACACACGCCGCTCGCTATCATACAATATTCGGATCGGTGGAGCGACCAATCCGAATATTGTAAGATAGCGATGTGTGGTGTTGCTAATTTTTATCATCGAGCGATAGTGTTTTTGTAAATATATCTCGATAAAACGAATACATCCATGTCTCTCCTGAATAATATCAATTTTGAGATTATGTTTTCTGGTATAAATTATATAATTATGTGGATCGTGAGCTTTATATACTTTATATTAAAATTGTCTCCAATCAAATATAATACAATACTTACGAGTATTAACACATTATTTTAAAATAACTAATTATTTATTGCAGGCTTCCTAAAGATCCGAGTGTGTTCTGTAGTGACAGCCAATCGTTTTTGTATGTAAGTCCGAGAACGTGTGTGTGTGCTGAAGATCGACCGATTGAACAAGCGATAGACTAAAAGCCCGGCGACGCGTTTGTGACTTTTGAGTTGCAGACGTTCACGGGCGGCGACGGTAACTTTCCATCAGGTGACTCGTCTGCTCGTCTGCCCCCTTTTACCGTGGTGGGCCGTGTCGGTCTGTAGTCACATACAGCACGTGGACAGTGGAGGCGTGTACTCACCGCGCATGCGGAAGGGCTCTTCGCTCAGGAACATGTGCGCGTGCGCGGGCGGCGCGGGCAGCTTGTCGGCGCCGGCGCGCGCCCAGGCGAGCAGCGCGCCCGGCACCAGGCGCAGCGCCGCCGCCAGCAGCGCGCCCGCGTAGTTGTGCTTCCTGCGCAACACTACACGTCACACGTGCGAACAGCGAACGACGATACTCAACTGACACGCTCATTATTCAAACAAACCGGAAAGGTACTTAAGTTCGGTCGTGTACATAACGTACTTAAAGTTTACAAGTAATTTTTCGTCAGCGTCAATCACTTTAGACGAATCTAACTAATCCTACCGATCCAAAATCATTCGAGCCGTTAATACTACAGAGAACTCGAAAACATAACTCTGGCGCAGTCGGATAAAAAATTGACGAAAAATTACAAACTATTAAAAATTATTACTTACGTAGGATTTATTACGTTTTTAAAATAAAACACAGGAATTCTAAAAGCAAAATATGTAAAAATACGTCACAAATTATTATCTATACAAATAAATAAAATTGTAACGTTAAAATATTTTTTTTTGCTTACACGATTATTTGCAAGAGTCCTATACCTAAAAAACAATTTAATTTTTCTGTCTGTCTATTTATTTATTCCGGGTAATCTTCAAAACAACTGGACCGATTTTAATAATATTTTACTAACAAGTAGCTATATAAAATACTAGTAGTCTATATAAGAAGTAACTTAAACTATTTTTCCTTTCGGAATAACTATAAAATTTTGCCCAGTCCGGAGATTAAACCCCAGGACTGCAGTAAAATTCCACGCGAACGAAGTCGTGGGTACCAGCTAGCTCTATATAAGTTTGGACGAAATCTACTCCTTAGACGTTTAAAAAGAGTTAATTTGCCCTAACAGTGAACCAACATGATAAATGTCCATTTTAAACAATAAATAATTTAAAAACAAAAGTTTTGTCATCATCAGTATTTATGATTTCAACATGTTATAAAAAAAGAAACATCAAAATCGGTTCACCTAGTCAAAAATTATGAGGTAACAAACATAAAAAAAAAAAAATACAGTCGAATTGAGAACCTCCTCCTTTTTTTGTAGTCGGTTAATAAAAGGGTGTGTATGTATATGGCTCACGTGTATATATGAACGTAGATTTGCTTGAGATCCCCCGATGCGAGCTCCCACATATGGGCTTGCGCGTCCGCCAGCAGGAGCCAACCCAGAACCAAGCTGTGACTGTCCGACATGCTCACCAACTCGCAGACCTCCTCTCCTAGCCTGTCAAACAACTTGTACCGATACACTTTCGTATCTCGTTGTTGGTCTCCGGTAACCTCGATCACTTAGTGAAAAGCAACGTTGGTTCTCTGCGAGACCGCGGTATCACCTGCAGTGTTATTCTATAAGGAAACAGCCTTGCGTAATACAACTTGCGTATTCAAACGAACTTTTTTTGAAATACGACGCAATGGCAGCGCTGTATGCAAGGCAGCTTCCGAGCCGGCCCGAGTGCCGTAACATGGCTCTCCCACGGCACCTCATTCATTGCGCATCATTCTAATACAACAATAATTTTAGAAAATATATGTGGATAATTGCCAACGTGTTTCCTAAAGTAATATTAAGTTAATATCCTCTGATAGAGCTGTAATCTGTGTGGAGGCGGATTAAGAATACGGAGAGTCACCGCCAGAGTTTCTTCGGAGAGGCCTCAACAGCCTTTATTATAGTCCAGCAGTGAACTATAATAAAGGCTGTTGATGTATACATAACATATAATTACCCAAAAGTCAAAATTACTTGTTATTTTATATTAATCGTCAGCATTAATAGCCTTTAATAGTTCACTGCTGGACATAGGCCTCCCTTTAGAAAGGAGGTATTGGCCTACTATACCACGCTGGCCAGACGGGTTGGTATAGAGTTTGCTCCGATTTTCCTTCTTTTTGCAGTGCTGTTGTCCTGCGTAGTTTGTTTTCTTAGTCGGTTCTTACAACACTCACTGGATCAATAGAGATGACGACACTCTGTATTTTTAATCAGTCACCACACGAACATTATACCAATAATTAAACTTTAACAGTAATATAATAAGGGATAAAGACTTACACGACATTGTTGAGCGTAGTGTCGACGATCTGCTGCAGCTCCCCGAACGAGAGGTTAAACGCGTCCAGAGCGTTCGCAGGACGCACCCTCTCCTCTTCGCTCTCACTCCACGCGATCATTTCTTGCGCTGGTACATTAACGTATTTAAACGATACCGTCAAGGAGGATTTGAGGTTTAGCAAAAGCGTCGAGGGGATATTATGTTTCAACGCTAAAGGCGGTTACGCGTAATTTCTGGAGATGTTTAAAGAGAGTACGGTAGGGGGTGTGGGACACTCACCGTCGTCGTAGACCAGCGGCTTAGCCAGGTTGCGTAGCAGCGCGTGGGCGAGGTGGCGGTAGGCGGGGTGCGCGGGGCCCATCATGGCGCGCGCGGCCACGTGGCCCAGGCGGCGCAGCGCGTACGGCTCGCGGCTGCGGCCCGAGCGGTGCCAGTCCACCCCCCCCAGCGCGCCGATCAGCCCGCCCAGCAGCGTCGACTGCGGCACCGTCATACATCGCGATTTGTTGTCTGACGATATGATCACTCTTTACACACTCGTTTCGACGGCCCATTACCTACTACTTCGCTCCCGAGATCGCCACCGTTAACTAGTTATGTGTATCGTATACCGATGTTTAACTGAAGCTAAAGGACCCGTGGTGCGTCGTTTTTCCGACTTTAGTTCTAACGGGATACATCCTACACACTACGCAGATACCGTGTAATAATACCTGTATCGTGGAAGTCGAAAACTAACCTATTTTTAATACTGTCAACGCAAAAACTATCGATCTCTATTTCTTCGAGTTCTCGATGCGGTGGCGATTCGAACTCGTAACGATAGCACTGCTCATATTTTGGAGTAAAAGTGATACTCACCTATTATGCAAAATGAACTAGGATTATTAGTATATTAATAGACACCGTGTAACTCGATATAATATTTTGTTCCTCGGATATTCACGATAACGATCATAGGTACATCCTCACAACGTCGACCGTCGTCCGCTCGGGCCCCGAGGCAATCGAATTTATAACCGCACTCTACTCGTCACCGAGTGTAATACTGTTACACTCGGTGACGAGTAGAGTGCGGTCTGGGACACCGGCCGAGTGAAGTTTTCAAAGGTCCTATTTCCCGGGTCGTCGCTGTTCTGCTCGGCGGTGGGGACTACCGTAAATACCATTTCCGAAATGTCATCCTACATCAACGTGGCGCACTTTGACTCGTCAAATAACGATTAAGTATTCGCTACGAACAGAATTAAGGAAATGACTCACTCAAGACGTTCGAGACGTTGAAGTAGACGACGTCGTACAGGTCGCTCTCGTACTGGCTCCAGTCGCCGTAGGGCCCGCGGCCGGGGGGCGCGGGGGGCGCGGGTGGCGAGGGGGGCGCGGGGCCACGCTCCTGCGCCCTCAGCGCCGCGTCCAGCAGGCGGAGCGCCGCGTGCATCACCATACAAAACTGCATGCACGGGAAACGTCTGTTATGCTCCTATATTCCATCCTTAGCATATCTATTTTGTAATGACCGACACGACGATTTTCTAAAACGACTTAACGTCGGCAGAAACTACAGGAGATCCCTTGAAATTGTAGGTTCTGCTCTAAATTAATTAATTTATCGTTTGAAAAACCGACAGCGAGTGACGATAATATATACCTTTATGAAAAGCATAATACCAGTTTGCCGATGATAGGTTTTCACGAATAAACAACGAAACGAACAAAAAGCGTGAGGGGTCTGCGGTATGGACCCCGGGTCGGTACGGTTTTGGTAGACCAGTAATTATATTATATTAAGTCGGAAAATAGTCTTCTTATACAGTTTTCGGTCTCGCTCCCAGCCGATGCGATCCGATAAGGAGCTTCGTTCCAATAAAAATAAACAAATCAAATCTACTTTTGTTACTTTACAATAATTGATATTTTCATTAAGAGCTATACAATAAATAAGACTTGTAACATTTTATTGATTTGATTAAGATTACAATAAATCTAAGTGGTGCTCATAGTAGGATGTATATTCACATAATCAAGTCCAAAACCAACCTTAAGAGTAATCTTTTCTTTTTCATGTGAAACATCTAATGCCGGTCTAATCGGAGGGTCAAACCAGCTGTGAGCGTGGCGACGAGTCGCCAGGTTATGTGATAGTATATATAACATGCAATGTAGTGTGACGACGCGTCGCCATGCGTAGGTGACTCTGCAACTCTCCCATGTTGATTATTAAAGTGATATTACACTTATTATTACGTTGCCATAGTAACTTACGAGTAATATGAGACATTTTTATATACGAGTTGTTGTGAGAGATGTCTGAGGTTATTATTATTATTGAAGTTTTGTACGGGACTGCATCAACCTGTACACTGGACACTGGACACTGGACACTGTCTATATGTATCGCCTACAAGCTTTCTCTCTTTAAAACTGCAAAAGTGTACATTTCGGAAATGTTTAAGCCAAATATGCTTATACGTTTAGTTTTACGTTTTTATCGACAATGGACATACCTTAACGGAACCCCATCGGTCCAAAGACTTCCTCGCAGCACGGAACAGAAAGTGCAGCATTGGGTTGATGAAGGTCCAGGGCACGAGCCGCGACTCGCTGTCCAGTGTGAGCCGCAGCACGTCCGCGATGCTCGCGCTGTTCACCACCGCGCTCCACGACGCTTCAGGCAGCTTCCTGCAGACACAACATTACTTTTTGTTTACTACACTATAAGTTTGAGACACATCTTAAACTACATAACTAAAGATACATCTTAAACTTACTATATAGTTACATACAAAAAAATATTCTAAAATAAAACAATTGATATTTTTTTATGTTTAACATGTTGATGTTTGTGATTTCGTGAAAAGGGACGAGAATGAGTAACAAAAAGGCGAGGAAACTAGAATTGTGCGTCTGCGAATGTGTCGCTAGAGCATATATGTTCCCACGGCATGTGTCGGAAAGCTATGTGATAGTTTATGCAACATATGTATAATGCAGTGTAGCGACGCGTCGCCATGCTCAAGTGACTCTACGACACTCACTTTAAAAAGTCTTTTGTATTTTATTTTTAATTATGCTACATTTTGTGGCGACAGCCCTACGCTATTATTTAATGTCAGCATTTTCTACTAAGCCAGGCGGACGCAAAGACTCGACAGTTAGTCGGTTACAAGCCTCGATACCAAGCGCGCGGCTATTCGCGCACCCGACTCCGCCCGCCTGGTTAAACCTTTCTGTGTGTATTTCATTTATGTATCGTGTGATACAATAAACTTTGATTAACTACCTAAATCGAGTATTTATTGCATCTCCACTCAACACCTCAGATAGGTAGTTAAAATTTATAAGTTCCTTTAATAAACTAGCCTTTTATACTCATTATTTCTACAAAATAATTTCAATGTTTCACAGCTGATGGTGTCCGTATGGTGACGGATTAAGAATACGGAGTGTCACCACCCCTATTCGTCCCGTGGTTTGCTCCCTTAGTCTAAGGGATTAGACTAAGGGAGCAAACTACACCCGGACTGCAAAAAGAAAACTTGAAATTAACCCTATACCACCCGTCTCGCCAGCGTGGTATAGTAGGCCAAAACCTCTTTTATAAGGAGAGGCCTGCTGGACAAGCAGTGGACTATTAAAAGCTATTGATGATGATGATGACAGCTGGGGGACGTCCCGAGAGGGCTTATTTTTAAATTTAGTGTGTGTTTGTTTAAATATCATAATTTAAAACGTGTATGGCATTAATAATTACTATTGCTGTACAATGTACTCACTCATCGAACAGTGTGAAGCACTTTTGTCCGCAATAGTGCTTTAAGATAACGCCGATGTTACAGCTGGCCTTACTCGCCTCCAGCTCCTCGAGCAGCTCGGACGTAAGCTCCTGGCAGTGGCGCTCTTGAAAACTGCGGAACATCACCAGGAATGCCGTTCGGAACTCACTGTCCGAGCTGTCACCGAACTTGTTACAGGCCTACAATAATTCAATTACAACATTATTTACCTGTACTTCAGAACGCGGCAAACCACTTCTTCTTCTTCAATTCTGGCTTCATCATCAGAACATGGTTGCCAGGTATAATATATTGGACTTAAGACAACGATTCGTATGACCCCAAAGGCAATGGTTTTAACAGTAGTCACTGAAGAGATTCACTATTTACATCCTTCATCATCAGACCTACTCCTAAGATGGCCAATTTTAGTATTTCAATCTAAACTATATAATTATATTATGCATACATAAAGTATCACTGCGATAAGACAACTAAAAGAAGATTAACTTCAAAGATTTGTGTACACAGTCAGTTACAATTAAAGATAACAAAATCACGTTAATATAAATACTATTTACGATGTTTTTAATAGAAAAAATGTTTACCTGCATCATATGGAGGTGTGCGCTCGTTGAAGGTTCCTCGATCTTCTCGTCACTGTCACGTAAACTAACCCCATCGTCTCCCCTGCGAGCACTGACGCTGTAGTACCTGTGAGCGTAGGCCCAATAGTAGCCCTTGGCAGTGGCTAATTCCTTGAGTGACGTCACTATTTTCTGCCGCGACGCTTCTGAACTGGCACTTATAATGTCCGAGAGTACCGCGTCCATTTTTAATTTAGTTTCCTCTATGATACTGTAATCTGGCCACTGTAAAAATGTGCTCATTTAAGTACATGTTTATGGATAAATACATTTTAAAGGAAATAAATAAATAAAACTTACAAATGTATAGGCTTCGTTTAAGGAGACCACAATGGTATAGTCATAGAGCATCTTGCAGAACTCCGTCTCTAAGTATTCACTTTTCAACAAAGTATCACACCAAGTAGTAGCGTCATTATCGTCAGCATCGTCCTCCGAAACAGCCTTGTGTAACAACATCGTTCGTAGATATATCGCGCGAAATAGAAGCTTATTCATATACACAGTAGCGTCTGATTTTGATAATTCCTGTATTTCAGTTTCGGCAGAACCTTCGATTATTATTTTTGAGACGTCATTGTCTTCATATAAACAGTTCAATTGTGAGGTGACGCACTCGTGACGTAACGCACACGTTTCAACGGCGAGTGACTCTTTAGTGTCCATGTTGAACATTTGTTTGGTGAACGTAATGATTTCAGTTAGATCATCAGGCAGCTGGGACTCGTCACCTCGGATAAATAGGTACGGAGCGAGAGATACGGTGTCTTCTATTTTCTGTACATCTAGGATCTCTATACTGTAAATAGATATATATTTGGGTGTTGCAATAAATGTAAGTAGTTATGATTATTTCTAGTCATGGGTAAACTAACTAATGAGGATCAATTAACAATTCCATAATATTAATAGATGTCACCGTATTTATTTAAAAATATTTAGTAATTATGAAACCAAAAACGTAAACCATAGATAAAATAAGCAGTAGAAAGCTAGCTTGAGACAGTTCCATGTTAGATAAATTGTGATATAAAAAAGTATTAAAATCGTTATCGTACAGTATAAATAGTAAGGGGCTTAACATAGATCCTTGGTGTACGCCTAAACTTACTGTAGCTTAATCTGATTCATACCCTTCAATGATAACATTTTGTGTACAATTTGAGATATATGACTAGAGTCAGCGCCAAAGATTTTCTTTAAGTTCATTGAATGCGTATTTTTTTCAGTAAAGATTTATAGTCAACTCTGTTGAACGCTTTTCACCAGTGGTTTTAGTTATAGTTGGTTTGTAAAATTTAGGTATTTATACCAGTAAACATAGTTTTAGAATGAACGAGTTTATATTCGTTTAAACCGGAGCTCATCACTTTAAGGTTAGGTTTATTAAAAGATAGCACTCACTTTTTGAAAATGTGTGTAGTGAAGAGTTGCACGGCGTCCTGGAGGAAGGCGGTGCGCGCGGGCGCGTCCAGCGCGGCCAGCCCGTCCAGCCACGACGAGCGCACCTCGCACCACGTGGTCGTCGGCAGCCGCGCATCGCCGCGCTGCGGACCGACACTCGCTTAATGCTCGCCCCGACACCAGCGCACACGCCTCGCCTCACGCCACGTGCTCGCCGGTAACTCGTCTACATTTACGGTAGCGGTGTGCGCCGGTGAGGCGGGCGCGGGACGACACACGTAGTGCAGTGTAATATATCACCAGTAGCATTTCAACATTTTAGGAGTAATTTTTAATGAGTCTTTTAAATATAAAATAACAGTGTATAGTAAACCTACGTAACGGAGCGAAGTGTGGGTACTCACCGGCACCAGTACGTTGAGCCGGAGCAGGTGCAGCACGAGCTCGGAAAAGGGCTGCATGAGAGCGCGCGAGGGCGCGGGCGCCAGCGCCGTCACGAGGCGCGCCGCGAGCCGCCCGCCGAATTCTAAGTGCGCCGCGCCTTCGCCCTCGCCCTCCGTCTCGTCTTCGCTCTTCGCCTCGACCTCATCCACCGCCGCGACGGTCGAGCTCACCGTCCTCATCATCTCCGACACGGCCTCCTCGCTGAACAATGGCTCTGAAATCGTATAAAATAAGGTACCAAATATTTAATACTGCCACTTATGATTTTAATCTGCCTTATGTCATCGAGAACATCGGGAGCCGGTTAAATCGTGTCAAAAATACCTTCTACGGAGCTGATCGAGCAGATGTGAAAGGTTATCACTAATTTAAAAAGTATCAGAAGCATGGAAAAGTAGGTAAGTAAATAATACTCTTAGAGATAGATTTTCTTTATAATAAAAAGAGTGCGTCGGCTCCGACGCACGATCGGAGTTTACTCCTCAAGAACGATTCGGCCGCACACAAGTATACAAGTTATACACGCACACGTGAAAGGCGCGCTCATAAAACGTAATGAGGTCGTTCGATCGCTAAGTTTTACTCTTTATACTTTTTTCATACCGGGCGCCTTATATGACACTCGATCGTTAAGGAGTAAAGTCCGACAATATGAAGCACCTGAGTCGGGGGGGTCGGCGAGGCACACGAGCAGCAGGTGCGCGGCGGCGGAGTCCCGGTGGCGCGCGGCGCGGCGCGCGAGGCCGGCCAGCGCGCGCGCCGCCGCGCCCGAGCGCAGCCAGCGCCGCGCCGCGCGCACGCGCACGTGCGGGTGCGCCACGCTGCGCGCCAGGCACCACTCCGTCACGCCCGGCGTCAGCTGCAACACGCGACCGCGCTATGCGTTACGGTTCGCACCGTTTTCTTTGTTTTGTTTACCTTCGATGGTTTCGTACTTTCTCGATTAAATTAGAAACTAATCATCGAGATCATCGTCGGTCAATAGAGCCCGTTTATACTTTATTCAGAATCGAATGCCGTACGTATACTTTTTTCCACTATGTCACTAGTGGTGGCATCGATAATCATAGCTTTCCTTTCCACCACACGAATACGTTGACGCGTTTGGCCAGCGTGGTACAGTAGGCGAAAACCTCATTTCTAAGAAGAGGTCTATGTCCAGTAGCGGAATAACAAATGCCGTTGATATGATGACAATATAAACATATGCATATAAATTCATATTTATGTAAAAAACAAACTGTTCAGTATTCGTACAAAAAACGAACATTAGTATCTCAATTTAATTTATCGAGTCGAATCTAAGCCGAGTTACGTTTACTTTTGGTCCGACCTGAGAATCAAACCCGAGACCTGAAAACGGTAGCTATACGCTACCTCTGCGCCACCGAAGCAGTCAAAACGATTGAAATATGTAAAAATGCATAAAATTACCTCTCGGAACGAATCGAACACTACGTCCTGTTCATCCTCCTTCAGATATTTGATCATCAGGAAAATGATGTCGACGACGGCCTTACACCGCATGGTGTCCCCGGCGAGCCAGCGGTGCAGCACGCGCCGGTACAGGCCCAGCGCCGAGTCCGCGCCCAGCCGCCGCGCCACTGCACGGTACGCGTCCGCGCTGTCGAACTGGCTCAGCAGCGTTATCACCGGGGTCAGGATCGCGTTCGCCGCTTCTTTCTTCTCCGCCGCCTCGAAGTAGTGAGCTATCACTTTGTGGACCAGCTCGTCCAAGTTGTGCTCGTATCTGTCCACGGCGGTCGCGTCGCATTGCCGGTTAGCGGCCGGCCCGTCGCTGACGACGCTCTCCTTATCGTCGTCGACCGACTTTTCGAACTTAATGCTCAGTTGTTTCTTTGTCTCCTGCGAAAAGGTCGTCTTCAAAGATTGCAGCAGTAAAATGTGTGCGTCGATGAGCATCTCTATCTCCACTAAGTCAGTGCTACATTTGTCGATCTGTGTCAGTAGTGTCGAGCCGATGTTCTGCCAGAAGTTTCTCAGTAGCTGGTCGTATTTCTCACTTTTCCCTTCGTTGGACTGTTTGAGCCAATATTTGACGAGCGATGTCATATTGGTGACCGAACATTTGATGAGATTGTTTCTGGTTTGCGAGTCATGTTGGGTGGAGAGCGTCTTCTCTAGCCACGTTCTATGAACGCTCGTGACGACCTCTACGACGAAGTCGTTCTCCTGTATGGACAGGTATCGTAAACATTCCGCTAAACTAGTAATCCACGACTGTCGTTCACTCTTCGAAGTTATTATATTCTTCTTCTCAAACCTGAAATGGAATTAAGAATTTTGCGAATTATAATTTTGATAATTGTGAGTTTATATTAAGAGTAAGATACAAAGAGATATTTCTCATTTGGTTAGATTTAAGAGTGAAAGCTAGAGCTGGTCGCATTTCTGTAGTTAAAATTGGCGAACTATTCAAGTTCTCTAACAATGGTGTTAATTCTGTTGTTCGAAAACTCTCTAAACTAAACTAAAAATCATTAAAAAAAAAAAAAGTGTAATGTGATTTTTAGTTTAGTTTAGAGAGTTTTCGAACAACAGAATTAGAACCATCGTACGAGTATGTATTACAAATTTAGTGTAATTTTACTTTTATTTTTTTTGTTCTAGGATTAAAGAAAACTTACCCTTTATAAATGGCGTTAAAGAATTTTTCATAAAACTCCTTAGTGAGTACATCTCGGGGCAAGTGGGCTAACAGTGGCAACAGCATCGTCGACAGATGTCTCGCATCACCCCACCCTCCTGCACGAGAATATTGAATTATTATTTTTTTAGCCTTACGGTTTTCGAGACCGATTTCGTTAAATTAAGATCTCACCCGCTTCTAAAACGTCTAATATCCTTTTAATCAGCAGCTCTTTCTTGTCCAAATATTTCTGCCAGTCCTGAAAAGAACGTCAACGTTTAAGTCGTCGATCGGCTAAATAATCAATTGAAGCGATGCAAACGTGTTTTTTTTGTTCCGTTTTTAATAAACAGGTGCAGGCGTAGCAGTACCCACCGGTACGTTGTGCATGAACTGCAGCAGGCAGGTCCAGAGCTGCGCGGCGACGAGCGCGTGCGTCCCGCGCGGCGCGGCGAGCAGCAGGCGCAGCGCGCGCGCGCCGAGCCGCTCCGCGAACTGCGCCGCGAACCGCTCCACCACGCGCCCCGTCACGCCGAACCACGCCGCCCTGCACCACACCGTCAATCACCACATTTCACACTCGACGAAGCTACAAGGCCTGACTCACCGACGCGATCTCGTTTTTAAGGATTTAAGCGAATTTCCACGTCTATGATCCAGTATCTATTCGACTATCACTTTTAATAACAGTAATGAAACACGTTCTTATGACACACCGACACCGAATTAAAAAATAAAGAGTTTCACGATCCCCCTGGCTTCATTTTCAAATCATCGTAGAAACAGACTAGTCCAGTGTCTACCTCCTGATTCCATCACCAGATCAGATCCGAAATACCAAATTACAATTTTGTGGTCCAAAGTAACATATAAAGTTTTATTTCGACAGAATTAGAGGTAGATTCAAAGTAACTGCCAAAATCAGTTTATTCAGTCAGTCAGTACCGAGTGAAGCAAATAAACACCTGTTATTACTTCATGGCAGCACAATATTGCAAATTACAACTATAATCGTAACGCTCAGTAAACTAATCTTGGTCGAAAATATCCTTCTTTCTCTTCTATATCAACCGAAGTAATACCAAAACTTTATAGAAAACAAATTTTAAACTATTATTTGGTTGCTTTCCACCTCGTGAATTAGGTTACCGGAGCTCCAAATCCCCTCTCTACCTAATTCTGTGGGGGGGGGGGAGGGGCAACTTCTATGCCATGAAAAAAGTATTTACCTAACTAGGTGCATGTTGTGCGTAGACATCTTCCAGTAGGCGTCGGCGGCCAAGAGCGGCGCGAGCTCGGCCCACAGCCACTCGTGGTGCGCGGCGGGCAGCTGCGGGACGAAGTACTCGAGCCCGCGGAGGCTGCCCGTGATGATGCGACACATCTGCAGCTCGCGCTCGTCCGGACTCTCTATCCTATAACACCAAAAGTGGTTCTCACTATTTTTTTTTTTGTTTGGATTTTAAAGTTGTCAGATTAATACACATAGGTGTTTAATTCAAATTATAACAACCGTAATATGTAGGTAACTGGCCATACTAATAGTGAGACAAAACAACTGAATACTTGAGGCGTCGCCACGAAGGTTTAAAGCATGATAATTATGTTTAATAATGACTAAATTGATATTACAATATTTTATTTTATACAATAATTTTAAATACAAGCGTATTATTATGTTAAGGCGAGCTTAACCTAAACCACCGAACGTTGGCAGTGCAGTACGTTCAAACGTATACCCATTACAAAAATATAATACGTAAGTCTACATAAAATTAATCAATTAAAAGAAACTTCTCTCAACATTGTCTTCAAAGATGACAGACAGACAAACTTACTATTATTAAAATACTAATATTGATTCGAACCTAAAGCTGATACTGTAACTAGGGATAATTGTAAGTATATTGTATCAGACTAACACATTTATGGGGTAGTTCAGGAACAAATCCTCTTCATCTAGCCTAAAAGGAATGTTTTTATTTAATGTCCATAGGATAATTCAAAATAGTGAATAATTAAAACAAAATAGACTGTACTAACTTTTTACTGATAATTGACTCAGTGTTACCGATGAGATTCTCCAGGAGGTGGGCCATTACTTCCGACTTGCAGAATGATATGGCATCAGGCAGCTTGCTATCGGGGAATGTACTCTGTTGACAATCACAATTATAATAATATATTTTATTTGTTGAAACACCTAGTACTTACAACGATTGTTGGTAATGACAATTTTAAAATTAACATAAAAACGGTACAGAACAATAGTGTAGAGTGCACACGCATCCCATTATTTGTAAAATTCTGATGACATAAAATAGTATGTGATATGAATTGAGTAAAATCATTTCAAAAATTGAGAGAACCAGCAACTGTGTGGATAAAGTCAGCTACACAAAAAAAGTACACTAAAAGTTTTAAAGAAAAAGATCTGTTGATGTTTAGTAAGCACGAGAAATAGGAGAAATGTCTGGAGCCTAACCTCTTCTATGAGCTAAAAGTTACTACAAGATACAGTTGATGATATTATAATCCAAAACGAAGATTTGAAATACTTTTTTTACTTTTTACTTAAAAAGACAACTCCCGCATTAGGAAGGTATTCTGTGTTGCGGGGAACTTTACAGACTCAGAACAACAGTTTGTGGATCACACAAAGTGTCGTCCCATGTGGGGATCGAACCCACAACACTCAGCGTAGTCGGAAGCGGCGTGGCGACCGCTTAAACCACTAAGCCACCCGTGCAGTCAAAACGTACTCTCATTATTAAGTGCCAACTGCACTATTGATAGTAACCAAGTTTACCATGAGCGAGTTCTGCGCGTGAGCCATGGCGGGCGCGTGTTCGTCGTACTGCGCCTGCAGCCAGGGCGGCAGCAGCGCCTTGAGATGCGGGGCTGTACGCCGCCCGCACATGCGTACCAACGCTCCGTGGCATAGCTGCAACAACACACCACGCCTTTAATGAGTTAGTTATGATGAGTTGTGGACATAGACCATATACTTCATAGACACTCATGATTAGCAGAATGACAGAATAATTTGGTATCACTATCACAGTATATTTTCACAGTGTATTATATACACAGAGTGTTGTAAGAGCCGACTAAGGAAGCAAACTATGCAGGACTACAGCACTGTACAGAGAAGGAAAACGTGGAACAAACCCGTCTAGCCAGTATGGTATATTAGGCCAAAAACTTCTTTCTTAGTAGAGGCATATGTCCACCAGTGGACTATTAAAGGCTGTTGATGTGATGTAATATATAAATATTTGCTTCGGGTTTCTACTTATATCATACCATAGACATGGGTTGGGTATATACTTATCACTTTAAACATACCTGTGTCATTTCTCGGACTTTACGGTCTGTATCAAAAGTAAGTGTCTTGTAGCAGTGTGCCCAAGCAGGTAGAACAGCCACTGCATCATCCACATTGCCATTGTTCACCAGCTCGCATAACTCCTGAAGGGCCTACAATTCAAAGACACCATGCATTTTACTTCATTAAACAAAAAATACTTTTATAGCCCTATTTCATCTGTTTAATAGAGCTAGTATGACCTAGATAGATAAAATAAAAAACCAAAAGTTATGACTTTTTGTTTCTAAAACTCAATGTTTTTAATTAGAAAACAGACTCGGAGTCAGTAGTAGTTCAAAACAAATCAACACCACATTAATTCTTTTTTCAATCGGTGTAATGAGTGCACCATTCTCACATTATATTTCACGTCTATGATAATCTCAATTAATATTAACTAATAGAGTAATAACCTTAGCTCTTGTAATAGGATCTTTCTTGCTTAGCTTCTTGATGCACATCTGGTACTCCGGTTTAAGCCCCTGGTCAATGTTAACAGCAGCCAAGGTGGGGAAGAGTGCGGGCAGCACCTTGCCACCACTGATGGTCATCAGCCCGCCATCGAAGCTCATTGAGTGGTTCAACAACTCAGCACTGCGACTGCTACTTGAAGGCTGTAGGCAAATTGGTAATAAAATATATAAATTTAATTTACCTTTCACAGATAATTGAGCTGGGCAGATACTGCTAGCATACAATACCTATAGGGCATGGTGGTAAGGTAAGGGTATGATGTGTGAATTGCATAAAGAGTTATAATATTAAATAATAATAATATATAATAATATAATATTTAGTTTAGTTATTGCCGTAAGCCACACAGGAAAGCAATATTAATGTGGTACCTATTTACTTACTCTGGCATTATTCTTGGTCCTTTGACTTTGCTTTTTTCCACTCATCTTGAAAATAGACTACAATATACACATATTTTAATGTATGGTATGTAATAAAGAATAATATTTTAACTCGAATTTACAAATAAACTGCTATGACCACTGCAATAGATTGACGACAGCAAAGCAGTCTGATTCTGAATTTCTGACTGATTAGACTGACGAACGTAAACATCAGTGTTGCCAACAGTTAAATTAACTCTCCACCAGATTCAACACCTAAAACCACCAGATAACCATTAACGAGAAACGGCCCTACTGTAATGATCACTAAAATTTGAGCACTAAACTGTTTTAAGTCATTACGAAAGAAAACTATAAATATATTACGAAGTAGTTAATTATTATATACTTAGTGTTATTAGTGAAATCAATAAAACAACATACCAACAAATTAATAATAAATCAACATGTTAAGATTAGAAACAAAAAAATATATATTTAAAAACAACAGTTACTTATTTCAAATAAATTCGTCTTCTTCAGATGAATAGTGTTTGTTAGCAACATCATTGTTGGTTTCAGATTGATACAATTCTTTGTACTTAAATTAGTTGTTTTACAACGTTTAATGGAATTGCATGTTTGTTGCAGCATTTTCCTTCCAACTTTAAACCACATCATATTTTTAACATAGCAGATAAAAGATGTAACTTCATTCTATTCTTTTGCCTATTTTGTATCTATTATTGTATTATATTTTTACTGGTAAATAGTCTCTCCACATCGCCATTATAATAATTCCTCTAATCTCTAATTCCCCTGGGCATCTTTGAAGTGCAATAATTTAAGGATGTGGAAATTCCTAAACATCATGGACAATGATACATAAGAATGGACCGAGTTTCGAACGATCATTAGTAAGTTTATATGACATCAATTTTCATTTCTCTTCTGCTACTCAACTAGATCATTCAACCAGGAGTCGGACACTGAACTATATCGCTAGTCTGCCCAGACCCAATATTGTCAATCTTGAATCGGTGCCTTCTGGGACATCAAGAAGATGCCTGTCCGTTCTTATGTAATGGGTTGTGATGACGTTAGCTGATATTACCGACTTCTCTCTCGAGTTGGGTACCTCCCCATTTCTCTGGCACGAAGCTTACATTATCCTATTGCCTAAAATATTAATAATCATTCTCTTCCAGAGCACCTCCCTTTGTCCAATCTCCATCGTTCTTTTCTTATCAAATGGTTAGTAAGGTTTGTCCAACCTTGACAAACAGTTCTCACAGTTCATCTTTCAAAATCATCTCGTAAGTGCTCTTCAATCTTACTATAACTACCAAACCACAAAAAAAAACAACTAGCCACTAGAAAAGCAATATTTCGCCATTGACGACACAACACATTTTATAACATTGGCAACACTACTAGACTTAGGGACACTTCTGTCTATGGGCATATGAACCTATGGTCCGTCTATTCTAAGAGCCAGAGGTACCTGTACCGAAAACAACTTTGTATAGGCGTAACACACAAATTAAAAACCTTTTCTGTAAAACTATGGAATTATGAAGACATTTTTATTTTACCGCAAGATAAAGAATTCCTAATGACTAACTTTAAATTTAAATATTTGAAACAAAGCAAAATTACCAATTTATACCCAATAGATGTTTTGTTTTATTTTTCAGTCACTTAATTAGATCTTTTAGTTACCGTAGTGTTACCGTAGCGGCTCTGCAAACTCACTAGAATACGAGTAATCGTTAAAATTTACGAAAAATCGAATTAATTAAAAACGAGTTATTTTCAATCCAGGCGTCGTAAAGTTTTTATAATACCTACTTAAAATTCATCTGACATCCAATTGTCAACGAAAACGCAGAATCAAAATGAAAAGTATGTATGTTAATGTAATTTAAAAAAAATCTTTTTTTTTTAAATGTCAGATGGTTCAGACCAGCAGTTGGGTCACCAGATGGAAAGTGACCATCGCTGCCCATGAACGTCTGCAACTTAGGAGTCACAAACGCGTTGCCGTCTTTTCTTAAAGGTTTTGAAGGTCGTATCGTCGAGTCTAGTGTATACTAAGACTTATTAGTAAAACCTATGATATGCCATTTTTCCATCCGGGCTTTTATAGTAGCATACATGAATCTATAAAACTGTAATCAAGTAGTACATACTAAGAAATGATATTGGTATCTCTTAAGAATCGGATGTTGTAGTAATCGATTTGTTTGACCATCACTGTACATCAATCTGTCAGAATGCGAATGAGAATGCGTCGTCGTTACGTGACGTGAGACAGCTCACGTCACGTAACGACGACGCATTCTCATTGTTTTCAGATTTCCTATTACGTTTTGTTGTTAATTTTGTTATTGTTTTGTTATTAGACTCTCTGTTGCATTTTATTGTTATTTTTGTGTAAGCTTCTTGTTATATTTTTTTATTAACTTTTAGGAAAGCTTACACACTAATATTTATACAAACACCGTGGACGTGGACCGCGCAGAATCATAGAGTACATCTCTTGTGCTACGTTTCATCTCAATGAAAATCTTTTTGTTTTATCTTCAAAAAGAAATTAAATATTGCCTATGGAGTGTAGAGGCAAGGAGAATCATCACATATCTACAGAGGGAAAGTTGAAGAAGAGTCCAGAAGCTGGACTCCAGCTGTGTACTGACAATAGACGTCGCTGACGTACGAAAAACCACGATATGAACATAGCTGTAGTAGACGTAGTGAAGGGTGCTGAGTATAAAAAAAATCATGACTAGAGTTAGTAAAATGCCAGTATACAAAACATCAACTATTTACGTAATTTTATTGGTCTATATTATTCTAATTCCTTTTGGCGTTATCTTAAAATATATCTTGGGCTACCGCAGCGCCACCCATATTGGACGCGTTTTTACGGATACTTTTCATTCACAGAGATGGTTCTCCTTGTCTCTACCTTCCATAATATTGCCCTCTGTGGTGTCTGTATAATACCACAGATGTCAGGATTTAGACTAATTGAGCAACATTCTCTGAATGACGAGTATTGAATAGATTTTGTTCAAATAAATACCTACCTTAGATCTTTTATCTTACCTTTACTCCAGACATTATAAATATTAGACTTGCAACGAATATTCGGTTACTATTCGGTATTCGGCCTATTCGGCTGCTTTTATTATATTCGGCCGAATACCGAATATCTACATATTATTCGGCCGAATACCGAATACTTAAATAATATATTTTGTCATTGAGAAATAATTGGTAAAATGAAAAATTAAAATCGATTGATTACGTATATATCCATATTTTCATTTCTGTTATAATCATTTAAGTAGTCATTGGTGCATAACACAGGTACATAATCATCTTCTGAATAGGAAAAATGGAGGATTCTATGTATTTGAATTATTGTGGTAATCAAAATTTAGAAGGGTAAGGTTCTCATTTCCTTTATAATCATTTATTAAGTAGTCATTGGTACATAAAACAGGTACATAATTTAATTCACGTCTGTACAAGTTTTTGGCGCTAAAATCCAGCCTAATACTTTTGCCTAATATTCGGCTATTCGGTCAGGAGCCTCGCCGAATATTCGGTATTCGGTATACTGCCGAATATACTATTCGTTGCAAGTCTAATAAATATGCATCGTAAACTATTACGCTTTACACTATGTAAACATTTTAAAGGATTTTTTCATAAGTTGCCATTAGTATGATTGCGAAATGAGATGTTTGTCAAATAATTAGTTTTGAATATTTTATGTTACCCACATTTGGCAAATTCTTTGTAATTTTATTTTATTGCAAGTAATGAAACAATTTAACAACAATGTGTTGATACATTATATTAAGGGGTCACTCCACAACTCATGTCGGTGTTGAGCTTATAAATAATAAATTGGACATCTGGGAAGAGAGTCGTCATGATTCTTTAGGTATCTTTTGTGAATTGTCCAATGCCTTCGATTCTATGCTTCGTGAGACATTTGTCAGGAAGCTACATCTTGTAATTTGGTAATTCTGAAGCATTAACATACACTATATTGATGATTAGTTTGTTGACTGGACCATTGTCATCTAAAATATCAATTGTTCGTTTTTTTTCCATTTTTTCTTTGTACTTATACATTCCATATTTAATTTAATTTGTATCGACCCTAAATTTACAGATTTTTGCATGCTTAATTATAAGGCAGAATGTACACGGATCAATGAAAACTATTCCATCTGTAATTTGATATACCTACATTCATAGCAAATAAACTTTGATTTGATTTATCAATGAAAATAATTTAAGTCAATGGTTTGTAAGCGCTGTCGCCGATGGAGGGTTTAGTAGAATCTGTTTTTTTTTTGGTGAAGTCTTTTATTTATTTATTTATTTATTTATTTAACTTAATGCACTAGTTGTACAAAGGCGGACTTAATGCCCAAGGCATTCTCTGCCAGTCGACCTTCGGGTGATGTAGAAAAATGAAGCTGTAGGTGCAAGAGAAAACAGAGAATTCTACTTGTTTATATTAAACTTATTAATGTAGGATAAATCTAACTTACATATATACACTACTACTATAAATACTATAAATAAAATACTATATTCATAACTACATATATACATAGAGGTCTCAAGTATACACATACAATAGATGAATATACACATTTATAAATCCATAAATATCAAAACACATAGTCGGGCACTAGCGATGTGACCTTTCTGCCAACTTATTGTGTAGAAGTTCTTGCACTTTCTTCTTGAACGTAAACCGGTTAGTGGAGATCCTAATTTCAACTGGGAGCGCATTCCAGAGAAGAACTGGCTGTACTTAGAAGGAAGAATTGATGAAGTTGGAAGTGTGAGGGGGGCAAAGAAGAAGCATATTATTTGTTGATCGAAGATTACGGTCGTGATTGGAGCAAAGGAGGCGGAGATGGGGAAACAGGTACTCAGGTACCGATGGGGAATTAAGAAAAGAAAAAAGATATGTTAGTGCGCGCAGACTGCGGCGTTGACGAATCGGGAGCCATTTCAGTTGGGAACGT